GCATGAGAGGAGTCGCTCGAGTTTGCTGGGCCAGATAATAAAATGGTTAAGAAATTGGATGAACTGACAATACCGAAACTCTGCATAAGATTGAATACGCTCTGTGTATGTGTATCCTTGCAAGCTAAAACCTTCATATTTTTCCCTGTGAAAACTCAATAATAAGATTCTTTTTCTTTCTATTCTGTGTTCATGGATCAGTATATTCAGAAACAAATAAGTGCAACTGAAGATGGCATAAGGAAATCTTTGACACTTGTCCAATCATCTCTAGCCAAGAGATCAAGTAAGCTCATCTACTTGAGATTAGACTTTTTTTCTCTTCATTTCTGGTTGTTGCCGTTTGTTGAAATGTGCACTGGCGGAGCCATTGCAGATATCGAGACTGACGAAGCTGAAGAGGAGAATTCACTGACGCATAGTGAAGCTGTTGATGAACTCTTTGCTACTACCTATGACAGCCTCAGGGAGACCAATGCCAATTGCATAACCAAAACCCGTGACCTAATTGGTAAGCTAATACAAAGTCTCGTGTCCGTCTGCAGCATTTTAAATTTGAGATTAACTGAAAAATCTGTCAAACCGAACCAATTCTCTGCAACCTTAAGCGTCAGAAATCAAATTGTCTAGTTGGATGACCTTTCTTATCGACAAATAAGATGTATTGTCATTTTTAACTGTTTGCAGACGTATAAAACAACAAGATATGCCATCTTCTGTCTTTATCAGACATGCTCGTGAATAAGCAATGCATATTTATCATGTTCCAGTTCTGTTTGCAAACGTACATATTCCTCTTTGATTGTTGTTACCTCATTAATGAGAGAGAATGTTAGATGGATTGTATTTCTTTAATATCATGTTTCTACATTTATTGTTTTGTTAACAGGGGCAAGAGTGATATTCTGGGATCTGAGAGATATGTTCCTAGTACAGTTGTACAATGGCACAGTCGAAGGCTCCCGCTTGGAAAGATTACTCCCTCGCATTGATTCTGTAAAAAAAAAATCATCTCTTTCCCTGATTTACCCCTTCCTACTAAGCATGAACTTACACTGAGAAATGAATTGCACAGGTCCTTGATAATGTATGCAGTTTGAGTTATGAGGACTCGCGAGACATGGTGGTTTTAAGCATCTGCCGATCCGCTTTGGTAACGCTTCTTCTCCCTCACATGTGTACAAGTTAGAAAACTTCCAAATTCATTTGTGCTCACTAAAACTCTATGCTTATCTTACATAGGAAGCTTATGTTCGAGTATTACTTGATGGAGGGCCAACTCGTGCTTTTTCGGATTCAGACATCCCTTTGATGGAAGAAGATCTCAGTATTTTGAAGGTGAGTAATTTACATTTTTATTCTGAATTCTTTACTATAATCAAACAATCAAAGTTTCTTCTGTACCAAATTTCGAGCTCTAGTATCTTCGTATACACACTATATTCAATTAATTCTAGACAACAGCATCATAAAACTAGAAATTAGGTTCTACTGCTTTGAAGCTGGGTTCTGCAATCATTCTTTCCTATGAGAACCTGGTCTCTATTCATGAATAGGGCAGTTCACTAACCTTTGCCATGCATTCTGGTAGGAGTTCTTCATCGCCGATGGAGAAGGTCTTCCTCGTTCCCTAGTTGACCAAGAAGCAAAGCAGGCACAAGAGATTCTCGACCTGTACTCTCTGGAGGTAAAATTATATTTCGTCCACTTGCGAAATTAGTTTCATTTCACAGAAAACCTGAGATACTAAAGTTTTTTCGGATTATGTCCGATCTCGGTTGTAGAGTGAAATGCTAATACAGATGCTAATGACTGCGAGCGAGTTAATTAACATGGGAGTGAGTTCAGAGCAACGTCGCTTGGAGGACGCACAGACACTAGTCAGAGTTCTTTGCCACAAGAAAGACCGAAACGCCTCCAAATTTTTGAAGCGCCAGTACGAGCTTCCTATGTCATCAGGTAACAAGTTGGACTATCTTTAACTAAGAAATAAAAAAATTCATCAAGATCATTACAAGTAGAGCTACAATTAATTGTTTTGAACTAAAGGATTCTGTAACAACATTGTCAATAAGTCTAAGAAAACCATTCCTCTGCTGTTTTTGCAGAGTATGAAGATCCAACTTCGAATCTGCCTGTTTTATCCGAAATCGTGAGAAGCACATCTTCCCGCTGGAGCCAAACGAGCCAGAATAGTTTCAGCTCCATCAAGAAGAAGATTCAAGAAGCAACATCCGAGATCAGGAACAACTCAGGATGGTAGGATCTGTGTGTTTTGTACCCTCAACTCAGTATAATTTGTGAAACATCTCACATTGCTCCAATTTTTCCGCTCGGGGTCAGCCCAATGACTCGCCTTTTCAATGGGAATCAGTGACAGTTTTCCTGCAACTTGGTAAAATCTTTTCATTTTCCGAGTTCAAGCCATGGTCCATTATGGTTACTAGAGTTCTTCTCCTCCATCGGCTCTGACTTGACATCAGAGCCTTGTTCTCCTTCCCGTATCTCCTCATCATCTTCCTCTGTTGCAGCACCCAACTCCTCGTCTCTTCTAGCTCGCTTCACACCAATCGAAACCCCAAACAACCTCGGTGTCAAATCCTCATCAAGCTTCAAACCAATCCCTGTTTCTATCCTAGAAGCCATTGCCATGGCTTCACTCAACTCTTGTCTCTCAGGTAAAAGATCCAACGGTTTCCCTTCCGGTAACAAACTCGCACAATCCGCTTGACCCGTCGTGAAATTCGCCATCAACGAGTAGATATTCGCATACAATCCTTTAAGCTTCGTCAGCTCTTGGCTCAACTGTACATTCTCTTTCCTCAACCTCTCGTTCTCCTCGATCAGCTCCGGCGTAGTGGTGCAGCTCGTCGTCCTCTGAAGAACCGCACCAACCGCCGCCGCTCCTCCGGTGGTCGCGGCTGCAGCCGCAGGTGATGAGTTAGACGATATTACCTGCTCTTCTCCAGAGTTCGACGGAGATACAGTGTGAGCTATGGCCGGAACCGCTGCAACTGTAACAGCTGAAGCCGCTACCGCCGCCGCCGCTGCAGCAGCTGCGGCGGCCATAGCTGGCTGAGAGATTTTCCGTCGTTGAATATCCCGAAGGAGAATCTTCTCACCTCGACGGAAACAGTCGTTAGAAAACTCCCAACGATCAGGAACTACTTTTCGAAATCCCTAAACCATGTTAAAACCGAATCTGTGTCACTACCAAATCAATATTAGGATTGATTTAAGCTAAATCGAGAGTTAAAAAAAAAACTCACGTAAGTGTTGAGCTGACGAACAAAACTTGAGAAATTATTGTGTTTGAAGTATTTTGGGAGAAGATCTCTAGCGAATTCAGCTGGTCTCCACACGATGAAAGTTGATCCATCTTCGTTCCACGAAATCAATTCGTCGTAAACCGGATCATCCACAAGCTGATACGTTTTCGTTAAAAACGGCGTCGGAATTGACCTCTGCGAATCTCCACCAACACCACTTCCGCCACCACCACCGCCGCCACATCCACTACTTCCGCCACTGTTCCCGGCGCTACAACCACCACCGCCGCCGCCAACTCCGGCAACCGTCGGAGTTTCTCCGGTCTGTTCCCCCGGCATGAGTTTTAGATCCACACACCTCAAAAAACCTGAACTTTATTATTACCAATATCCAAATTAAGATTAGATTCGGAAATAAAATTGCTGTAACAAATGATAGAGAAAATGATGGATTTACCAATGGAAATGAGCTATTTTTGTTTTACTTATTGTTGTTGCTTGAAGAAATTTCGAATCATGAGATCCGAATTACAAAAAAAAAATAGACGCAGGAGAGAAAAGAGATGTCTTTAAACCAAATCCAAAACACTCCAAAAAAAATTGTTCTCTTTACACCAACCAACAAAAGAGATTGCCACAATCCGAAAAGGAGCCCGTGACGAACACACGTTTGATCTCAAAGCTAGAGAGACAGAGGGAGATTGTGATTGAGTTTGTGTCTTTGAAGTTCTAGAAGGTTCTGGCAAATACGGATTGATAATAAAGATGAAATGGAGAGAGGAGAGAGATGAGAAGACAGATCGGAAGTTCCAGAAGGAAAGAAAAAATTGATTTAAGAAAAAAAAAAAAAAAAAAAAAGAGATCGAGGAAGAAAAGGGTAAAATGGGGATAAAAGTGAAGGGGTCCACAAGAAGGAAAGAGTATAGGAATGTGCGAGAAGAGCGTATGTGGCTTTCCCTCCTTTTCCAGAAGTTTCTTCTTCTTCTTCCTTCTTCTTTACTTACCTTTATGACCCTGTTTTTAATTTCAGTAAACGGTAATAAATATATTGATAAATGATAACATATTATAATTAAATGTAAGTGGAATAAGCTTAGAGTCGAATTAATTATTCGTGAGTTGACTCTCTTTTTTGTTGTTGTTGTTATGTTACATTAATCATACTTCCAATATAGATAATGTAGACTAAACTATTCGTAATAAAAAAGTGAAAACAAAAAAAAATAATTTACCCACAAAAAAAGCCAAAAAAAAACGATTTCAGTATATAAAAGCTCAATATACTTACCAACAGTTATTTTGTAGAGTATTTCATGTTTTTATGACTTGTATGTGAGAATCAATTAAAGCTCAAAATTATCTTCGGTAGATTTTTATATATACTGTATTTTCAAAGTCAAAAGTTTGAATAGTATACTTAACTTGTATAAATATACTTTCTTTAAACAAAAAAGCTAGACCAAAATGCTTCTACGGTTCTCTGTAATTTTCTTTTCAATGTATTGTTTTATTATTTTTAGAATCAATTAATTGATATAACGACAACAATGCATAGGATAGAAAATTCTACTATAGGTCGAGAATGGTTTTACGTCTTTTGTAAAAGTGTTTTGTATTTCAGTGATGGACGTATAACTTTTTTACCCTACATCTTTTTCTTTTTTTTGGCAACCTTTTGTCTAAACTTTTTTATCACCTAAAATATTCATCATCAACCATTAATTAAAATCTGTTCTTACTTCTTAGTTGAAGTGTTTGAACGCACTTGTTGTTGCTGTCGTATTCAAAGTAAGGTTTTTGGTCAGAGTAAATATTCATTGATATTTGACCATGAAATATAGAAATGCAGAACTGAAACGGGCTAGCATTCAACTATACTTGCGAGTCATACAGTCTACATAGAAAGGCAACGTAATATTTATTTAAACTATTTTCTAAAAACAATAAACGTTTATTGTGAAAACAATCACTTTTTATATATACAAAAAAAAAGGCAATTATCGTCACCATTCAAAAATAAAATATACAAATAATCTAAAATTTTAACAAAACATACAAATCGAAATAGATTTGGTTCTTACTGTATAACCTGTAAATTACTTAAATGTTAGAATAGTTAGTTTTCATAATAACTTTGAAGACTGTGTTTTGCATGTATATCTTTTGGTAGAAAAGCACAAGTTTTGTTGATTACATTCAGGTTAGTGGAGGCAGAGAGAAGAGTCAAGCTTTCTGTTGGATAATTGATAAAACACCGTATATAAATTATAAAACTATGTAAATATCATATGTATTCTTTATTTATCTTGCTCTTGATTCATGGCGACAGTAATGCTATTTTGTAAAGCTATAGGTATTGGGTTCTAACCATGAATATTATAAATGTTACACATGGTAATTGTTAGTTAATTTAGCTAGTTACCAGATAGGATAGAGATGAATGTGGACTTGTTACAAGCTTGCCAGTTTACCACAATATTCAATAATATGCATGTTTACTTGGTTCAGCCACTATCTTAATTCCTTGATCAATCACTATTTTAATGACACTTCTACTACTTTGGAACACTTGTTAACATCCTAGAAAAATCGGTTTGCCACATATATATGAAGAATTTTTTTTGCCCATTTTTTTGGCAAAAATACGAGGAAGACAAATCAATACTTAGCATACAGTACTTCAGTTTGTTTTATACAATGGTCATGAATGTACAAAACAACACTTAGTTACTGCAATATTCACATGGTCGTCAACTCGTCATTTCTTTTTTAGATCAAACAGGAGTGGAATATAAAAACCCTTTACATGAAATAATTACCACATAAATCTCTTGCAAAGCTTATACCCAGAGAAGAGGGTAGAGAGTGTCAAAACCAAGAAAGCAGAGAAAGACATTGAAGCTGAAACTATAGAATTCTTTCTTATGTTTTTCATCGCGTCCTCGTTTCTATGTTGGATCCACGCAATTGCCACGGAAGAAGATGATACTAGTAGATAACATATAACCTAATTAGGTTTTACAAAAAATAAAATTAGCCCAACTCTTTTAAATGTTTACTATATATTGACTATATACTGTGTACTATTTCTCTTCTTTTTTGAACTATAGTATACTGGATACTCTTAATTAAATATGCATAGTATACTGGATACTCTTAATTAAATATGCATTTGATTGATAAATAATAAGTATGATAAAAAAAAATACCTGATCAAGAATGAAGCTGATGTAATCGGAGAGAGGCTCAGAGATTAAAACTCCTCTGTGAGTAATATCACAAATTCCTTTGAATGTTTGAAGAGATGTATACACGAATCCTGTCACTGCTACACCAAAACAATACCTACGTACAGAGATATTGTTTCTTTTATGATAACATTTTCAATACTTCTTAATATAAATTAGATATAAGAAAATCATCCAATTTTTTTCCTTCACATTCTTTTCTCTATATGTTTACGCTTAACTATTCATGGATATAGGGACACTTTGGTACTGAACAAGGGCGGACGTAGGATGAGCAGCATCCATGGGGGCAAATGCCACGGTGCCACCACTACTATTTCATTTTAAATGTAACTAATTAAGCTAAAATTTACTGTCCCATTTCTATATATATAAATATATTTGGGCTTAAGAGCGCTTTTTTTTGCCCCATCTTAATTTCTTCTTCCATCAAGCACATCTTGCAATCTTGCCTCCGCATTTTAATTTGTTGCTAAATATTATTCGTTCAGTGTTCTTGTCATAGAAAATCCCTAAGTTTTCATGGTCATGGATCTATATGCCCACAAGGGTCCCCTAGCCAGTCATGGTTGTCCAACTCCCGCGCAAAGTTTTATGTATCACTTCATATATTTAACATATTTTAAAGTATTTCATGTATATTAAAAGTTTTTTTTTGTGATAAAGGAAAGATCGGATTCGAAACACCCAAGTAAACAGGAGATGACCACCACCAAACAACATAGCTGTAAGGCACGTCTATCCATGTATATTAAAAAATTAATAATTAAATTTGTCTACAGATTTTAAGTAGTACTAAATGTGAATAACAATAAATAAACTCTATAAGCTTGCATAGAAATAACAAAACAAGATATCATATAAAAAAATTCTTAAAAATAACTTAGTATTAAAAAATTGAGAAGAGGATAAGGTTCTTACAATAGTTCAGGATGTGAAGCGAAACTCGAGGAGCTCTGAGTCCGATGTCTCAGTGAAGGCCGATGAACATTCACTGCCAGGGAAAGAGCAGAGACAAAACAGAGAACCAAAGTTATAAACCGGAGAACCAAACCGGAAACATGAACCGACGCTCGCCGTGAGCTGAACCTCGAAGCCGACGGTGTTACGGAATATGCAAAGGAAAACGGCGTTGGAACTGACGGCGTCTGATGAGAGATTGGCGACGCCGTCACTGAACTATCTGACGAACCGTAAGTGATCACAACTACGGGATCTTTATGTTCTTTCATCAATATTCGAGTTTCACAAAAATAATTCAAGAGAGACTGATTTATATGATTCTTTTTCTTAATTTGAGATATATCTTATTTAAAGATGAAAGGGTTGGCTGATACTGGATTAAAAATTTAGATGAAGTTTCAGCGAAAGTTTGTTAGAATCTTCGACCTTTCTTCTTCCATGTTATAATCTTATAATATGCATAATTGTATAACTTGTATGACCAAAATATCTAAATATATATTTATTATTCTAGCATACACTAGATCTATTTTATTACTCATATCGATATAAAAATAATAATGTAATTAATAGAATTAACCGTATATGATTTTCATGAAAAATATAAATAAATGCACATATCACAAATCTAAAACCCAGTAATTAATGAGAAAAAGGTCGGACAAAATATCATCGCCAATAACAATTACTACAATTAGATGACGTTACTTACATTTGTTTTTCTCATATTAATTTTATTAGATGCATTTAATTCCTCGTAACAAACTGACATGCATTATGTACAATAAGGATTTAGGAGTTTCTAATCTTCTGGTTAAGCCGATCCTTACCACATTAAAATTCTAGTACTGGAAAATCGATCCAAATATTAAAACAAGAAAGCAGAACCGACTCGGATTTATTTATAATGTACATAAATCCTTTAAACCATAACCAAGACGGGAGACAAACAAACAAACAAAAATCCTCAACCGATATCAAATTAAGCCAAACCAAAAAAAAAACTAGTCAAAATATTTCAAATTGAATGTACATTTTGCAAGAAAATAACGTAACATCAATTATGGTGTTTTATTTAATTAAAGACAAAAAATTCTGAACTGATACTCAACCAAAAACCAAATATGTACTTATGCATTAAAGCTACTGGAGCTATAACTTATATCTTGCATTATATATAAGAATTGGCATTTTTTCCAATCCTTCGACAAAGAAAAAAAACATCCAAACTAGTAAAATCATGATGAAAACAAAAGATTTTATGTTTGTGACAATTTTGATTGTGTTATGTATGTCGATAAGTAGCATCAATGCGGAAAAAAAGTTTATATTCCCTATCCAGGTCAAGGCAATTTAGGTAAAGGTTGTGATCCAAGATTTCCCACGCCCGAATGTTATTTGCCCAAACCAGCAAATCCATATAGCCGAGGATGTACGCTAATCAATAGATGCAGACGTATACCTTCGTTGAAGCAATTTCTGCAAAAACTTCTCCGTGAATAATGTAGACACGACGATGATTATTATAAGATACATACTAAAATGTTACAAAAAAAAAAGAGATATGTACTAAAAAAATGATAGCTAAAATTTCAGTTTTTTTTTTTTGTTCACATTCATCTCTTTATTTTACAAAAAAAGGGTGAAAATTTATGGTTTAGGATTCATTTTGAATGATCAAACCGTGAACTTTGAGTTTTCAAAAAGGTAACTTTCGTTCTTTTATCAAAGATGAAAGCTAATAATTATATGAAAATATAAAACAACGTAAGCAGCCTTTTTTTGTCGTCGATCGCAACGTAAGCAGCCTAAAACCCCAAAATCAAGATAGTACAAACTTAAAAAAGAAAATTACTATGTGTTTGCCAAAAAAAAAAAAAAATTACTATGTTTTAATTCTTAGAGCATGAACATCACCGTATGTAACCGTGTCTCTTGTGAATAAAAAATATTTTTTAATACAAATGGGTCTTTAGAAATTGTAGAGACGTCTCCTAAATTGAAACCGTAAGAGATGATTTTCAAAGATAGATGAACTTATGTGATTGGCTATTCAATTTGGGAGAAATTTTTTTTTCCTTCCTTCCTCATTTTCCCCAAAAACAATTTTTTCTTTGTCTTCTCCGTCAAAATCGTCGAAGGTGACGACGACGTGTTGGTGGCGAATCCCTACGGCATCGTCGACAGTGTTGGGAGGCCCACAGCAGAAGATCGAGACGCCGACGATAATCCCTCTTCTCTTTCGCCTCTGTTATCAGTTTTCTCTGTCAAAATCAATCGGTGATGAATCAGTTAATTTTTGATCGGTTCGGGAATTCTATCTTCATCGGTTCGGATTTTTGTTTCTTTCTTCTTCAGAATTGTTTAGGGATCGAATTGGATGATTATTTTATTTAGAGGTTTCAATCGGTTTTGGTAATTTAGGGTTATGATTGATTTGGGCATCAACTCTATGATTATTTGATGTCAGGTTATTTGCTTCGTGGTTTTGATTAATGGGTATGATTTAGGGTTCTGGTCGAGTGTATTGACTTCATCTCTTATGAATTGAGTTGTTTGTTGGATATATGGATTTTGTTAATTCAATCAGTGATGTAGCAATATGGTTTTTGTGTTTGTTTAAGTGTCAATAAGAAATTGTTTGCTTGAGATTGAGATTGTTTGCTTTGATTCAGATTATTTGTTTGAGTTTTTGTTAAGCTTCTCTGATTTTGTACATGCATAATCGGTTGCATTATTTGGAACTAAACTTGGTATTTAGTTTTCTTTTAATGCAGCTTAAGGTTATATATCTCAAAAGGCGAAACAGGTGAAACTGGTGGAGCATTAAAGCAGACGACAAAAGTAATTCCTGGTAAGCAACCTTCAAACCCTTAATAGGATTTAGCATAAAAATGTGGCTTTGTAGTTGGTGATATAATAAAGGCTTGTTCATTTTAGGGAGATTTGTAGTTGGTAATGGTATTAAAGGCTGGGTTAGATAGGTTTGAATGCTTCTGTTTAAAGACTTTTATGTCTCGTCGATGTTAGTTGGAGTTCAATGCTTCTTCTTGTTTACTTTGAATGTTAAGAGACCTTTATGTCTTTGTTGTTTGCTTTGAATGCTTGCTTTCAATTTTTGTTTTCAATGCTCTTTGTTCCTCTTTAAAACCTGATCCTTCTTCTCCTTTAATTCATATCCGAAACAAACCCTGCATCTCTTTCATTCCCTCTAAACCCTATCTTCAAAACCTTTTCATTCCTTCACTTCCATTCCTTTTTAATGGATATGTCTTCTGCATATCCATATGCGCAACCCACAAACTTTTTTGACTTGTTGAATAGTCAACAAGGAACTCCACTTGATGATTCCTTTTGTTCACTCGAGCCATTTCCAAGCTGCAGCACCCAGTCTATGTTGATACCGAGTATCACACAAAGAGTTTAAAAGATTTTATTAATGTTATAGCTGAACTCAAGATGAGCTGTCTACATACCCTTGAGAATTGATCAAACCATTCGTAGTTCTGTTATTAAAGTTGTGAATGATCCCTGAAAAAGAGGAGTCTCTTCTATTTATAGGGTTTAGAATCGGTCTCTCTAGACGATTTCCTTTTTGTATTTGGATTTGGATTCGGGAATATTTCCTTTTCTTGGATATGATTAAAGAAATATTCCACAAAGTTCAGATATTAATGCCAATATTGTAAATCGGGCTTTAGAAGCCCATAGGCTATTAATAGGCCGAATATCCTTTGGATATGAACCATCGTAAATCGGGATCAATTGGGCCGATCTCGTTTCAAACCGAGCTAAACCAGGGGTGTGGAGTACACCACCAACAGTCTACACCTCAAGAGAGAAAAGAGAGAGCTGCTTGGACCCCCAGCGACGATGTCTTACTGATCAGTTCCTGGTTAAATACCAGTAAATATCCAGTAGTTGGAAACGAGCAGAAGAGTAGAGCTTTCCGGAAGAAGATAGCAGCTTATTATGCTGCAAGTCCAAATGCAGAGGGTCGTGTACTGCGAATGGCAAGCCAGTGCAAGCAGAGGTGTCACAAGATCAATGATCATGTGTGTAAGTTCTGCGTTGCGTATGACTCTGCAACAAGAGAGAAGGCTAGTGGCCAGAACGAGAACGACGTGCTTAAACTTGCTCACCAGATTTTCTTCAGTAATCACAAGAAGAAATTTAACTTTGAACACGCCTGGAAGGAATTGCGGAATGACCAAAAGTGGTGTGATCTTTCCACCATAAGGGTAATGCATCGAGCAAAAGGAGAAGAAGTGATGAATTGTTCACCGGGCTCGGTTACAGAACAGATGAAGACTGTCAAAGTTGATGTTTCTAGCTCTCGTCCTATTGGTATATTGGTATGAAGGCTTCAAAAGCCAAAGGAAAAAGAGCTACGGGTGAAGGTAACCCTGTGGCTTAAGCTATTGCAGACTTTCAAAGGGTGTGGGACGTCAAAGAAAAGGACTTAGCAACAAGGGAAAGACTTTCTAGGATGAGCGTTCTTGACAGGCTCCTTGCAAAAACAGAAGCTCTGACTGAGGTGGAATAAGCACTTAAGAAGAAGCTTCTTGGGGAGATGTTGTCTACTTAGTTATTTTGGGTTTATGTTTAGAGTTAAGATGTGTTATGGTTTGGCTTTGTTTGTTTTATGTATTAGATTAAGATGTGTTATGCTTTAGTTATGTTCTTGTGTTATGTAATTTATTTCTATGTTAAGCGACCTTTGTATTTGGTAATCTGCTTTAAAAAATATGCTAATGTGATATTTGGTTAAGTTACCATTGTGTATGTCTTTGGTTATCTTAGTTTTTACAGCTTATGTATGTGTTATTGTCTTATGTAGTTGTTATCTTCGTTATCTTTGGTTATCTTGGTTATGGATGGTTATAAATTTGCTTATGTATTTCTTTGATTGTCTTTGATTGTGTTTCAGGCCAGAGTTGGAGTAAGTTGGCAGAAAACAACAACACAAGTCATGTTGGGAGTCACAAGTTGGCAGAAAACAAAAACACTTTTTCACAAGTTGGGTTTAGTCGGCACAAAAGAACAACACATAGAAAATATTTGTATAGTGTTCAAAAATTTTTATGGTTGTAAATATGTTGTATTTTGAGACCACAAGAATTCTTCTTTATTTTGCCACCACAAAATGCAAAGTTGACTCTTCTATATATAGTTTCTACACCATTTGGTGATAGCTCAACACAACGCTTTTCTTTCTTAATTTTTTTGTCTATCAAGCAATTCTCCTTTTCTCTTTCAAGCAATTCTTTTGTTCTTCTCTTATTATTTTGTAAACGATATCCAATTAAAACAAAAAAAAACAATGGCTTCATCTTCTAATAAAAATGGTGATGAATCAGTTGATGAATATTTTGATCACCAATTTGATCACCTATTTGATCAAGTTTTTTATCAGAATATTCAGAATCTGTTCATTGACTATGGACAACATCAAGAGGCATCCAATTCAAGAAAAAAAAGAGCTTTCATTGAAAGAAACCAGGAAGAAGGCCATATACGTTTATGGAATGATTATTTCAGTGAAGATGCAACATTTCCGGCTTATCTATTCCGATGCCGGTTTAGGATGAATAAGTCATTGTTCATGAAGATTGTTGATCGACTATCTACTGAAGTTCGATACTTTCGACAGAAGAACACGCTCTCGGAAGGCCTGGTCTCTCCAGACTTCAGAAATGTACATACGCAATTCGTCTTTTGGCATACGGAACTGCGGCTGATACAATAGATGAATACCTCCGGATTGGTGCTACTACTGCTCGGAACTGTTTGGAAATTTTTGTCGAAGCAATCATAAACTTATTTGGTGATGAATACTTGAGAAGACCCACACCAGAGAATCTTCAACGGTTACTTGATTTTGGAGAGCACCGTGGATTTCCTGGAATGGTAGGAAGCATCGACTTTATGCATTGGGAGTGGAAGAATTGCCATATCGCGTGGAAATGGCAATATTCACGTGGTGTAGGCAAACCCACAATCATTTTAGAGGATGTAGCATCATTTGACATGTGGATATGACATGCGTTTTTTGGACCTCCAGATACCTTAAACTATATATTTTTTTTTATCGCTCACCCAGTTTTGATGATATAATTCAAGGTAAAGCTCTACAAGTGAATTTTTTCGTCAACGAAAAGGAGTATAATTTGGCATACTATCTGACAGATGATATTTATCCGAAATGGACAACATTTATCTAATCTATTCCACTTCCATAAGACCCAAAAACATGTTTATTTGCGGAAAAACAGGAAGCTTCTCAAAAAGATGTCGAACGTGCTTTTGGAGTCTTGCAATCTCGGTTTGCCATTATCAAAAATCCAACTCTGTTTTGGGATAAGGCAAAAATAGAAAAGAGTATGAGAGCTTGTATTATACTCCACAATATGATAGTAGAAGATGAAAGAGATGGATACACTCTCTTAAATATTTCAGAATTCCAATACGGAGAAGGAAGCGGAAGTTCAAATGTGAATCTCGTGTATGAAACAGATACTTCAAATCTTGAGAATAGTATCTTTGCTCGAACAAGAATTCGTGATAGATGACTACATGAACAACTGAAAGTCGATTTAATGGAGTATATCTGGCAAAAAATCGGACATTTTTATCAAAATACCAACTAAAATTTTTATCAAAATTTCTGTTTTATTTCTGTTCTTGTCTTAATCTTTGTAATAAAATAATTATATTCTTATAAATAAAATATATTTTTTAAACAACCCCAAAAAATTTCTAACAATGTACATCTAAAATAAATAAATCTCTTATATGAGTCTCTAACCCAATTTTATTATTAAAAAACTACTTGAGAAACCCTAATGAGTCTCAACAATGTTCATAATCTTATATATATTTAATAATTTAGTTTTATTTATTATTTTCTATGGACTTTTCTTTTAACTTTTTTAATGTTTCCTCTCTCAGCGTAGATATCTGACACCAATACCATCCCCAATGGTTTTGTTGGGTTACCTGTTGGATTGTTAGTCTTATTCTAGCTATCAAGATTCTGTAAAATTCTTTGCACAGTAAATTAAGGAAAATGTGTCATTCTTATTCTTATCAAGAATTTCAGATAAAACTAGATACATTTTCGAAACCCTCATCTTCTCTTAATTTCTGTAAGCTTTTTTGGTAACTTTGTAAGCTGAATAATGTTAGAGTATCTTTGTTCATAAAAATGAATTTGTACTTAACTAATTGCTGACTTTTGGAAGTTAATCTTCTGTGACTGTTCCACATATAAATCTTTAAGAGTTTCCAGGAGATTATTACATTCTTTTCCATTTGCTTGGCAGAATATTACGAAACCATTTGCAAAAAAAAAAAAATTAATAGAAATGGGTGGTCTACTTCGACTAGTTCTGAAGCCATGTAATGTTATTTATATCGCTTTTTGAATTAAAAATGAATGACCTTTGTTCAAATTAAATGTAAGTTAAGTGAGCGAGGATCTATCTACACCGTTGATATGCAAAACCAAACTATTTCAGCATTAAATGAGATGAATGTCAATTCACCAAAAAAAAATGAGATGAATTTCCATTTAGCCTTAACAAATGCTTCTTCTCTTCTTTTTTTTTTTTTGAACTAATCCTTATCAAATGCTTTTGCTAGCTTAAGAACCATATAATTAATTTGGTTTGCATGAATATAGAAGTTAATAAACTAGTAAAACATTATCAGGGATGAGTCTTCATAGAAAAAAGGACACTAATTCTTCGATATTATTTAATCTATAATTGCAACTGCTGTATATCCTTCCGCACAAGAGACTATGAAGCACTATTTTACCAAAAAGTATATGAAGCAATACCTGACAATTTAAATGTACAAACGATTTACAACTTTAATGGTAAAACGTCCATATATGGATATATATATATATATATATATATATATATCAATATAGGCGGACGTCGAGGCTCGAAAACTAGGGAAATTTGGAAGAATAGAGTTTGGGGTGATCAAGGTTGACCAATAAACAGTATCCGGTAATCTGAAATTATTATAATCATATATGGATATCTCCTAAAGAATTATGATTAACATCGTAATTTCTTCATTTTTCTCCGATCTACAATTATTAAAAATAGCGTGCACCACGCAGGATAGTTATTTCGTGCAAGAATGAAATACTCAAAATTATTATGGACAATTTTGTTAAGTTGTCAACGAAATTAGTAAGGCAGATGTTAATTCATCTCTCTCGTTTACTATAAATATAAAGGAATGCATATATGTCTCTCTAAGAGAACTACAAGTCTATATATCTAACATACAAATTAATGTTAAGATGAATGAACAATACCCTCGATTTTTGTTATAAAAGATTACAATCTAAATCTCTACTACTTTATAAAGGCGTGTATAAACTCTTAATTTATGATATATATAAGAAAACTAGAAAGTCACTTGTAGTATATCCTAATCCTCAATACACACCAATCTAGAAACAAGACTAACGTTAGTCCATAGTCAAGCCGCCCCTACCTGTCCATCATTTTATATTTGTAAAAATGATGAAACCAAATTAACATTCATTACATAGATAACTTCAAAGATACAATACTAATTAAATAATAAAATAAACAAACCAACACATAACCTCTTACCTCTATATAAAATCCATAATACATATTAACTAAAGCTCATACACACAAGTAGTAAAATAAAAAAAAATGGCAAACATCTCACTCTCTACGTTCATCTTCTCCATCCTTTTCTTCATCTCCACCGCGACTGCCGCCACATTTGAGATCCTTAACCAATGTGGTTATACCGTATGGGCTGCCGCAAGCCCTGGAGGTGGCCGGCGTCTTAACTCTGGCCAGTCATGGACGCTAAATGTCCCAGCGGGAACATCTATGGCACGGATTTGGGGTCGGACCAACTGTAACTTTGATTCTTCGGGCCGTGGCCGATGTGAAACTGGTGATTGCACTGGTGGGCTTCAATGTACCGGTTGGGGCCAGCCACCAAACACGTTGGCTGAGTATGCTTTGAACCAATTCAACAACTTAGACTTCTACGACATTTCACTTGTCGATGGATTTAACATTCCTATGGAGTTTAGGTACGAATATCACCATAATCTTTTCATATATTTGAATTTTGCCCGAAAAAAAATTTCTGACCATAAACGTAAAAATTTCAATTTTGAAACTTGAATTCGACCTAAATACACCCACATATGTTTTTTAATTACCGGCTGAAAAAATCAGTGTCGTTAAAAACGATACTGAGATAGTACTAAAAATATGGTTTGCTGTTAAAACTTACGATTCATTTTTATTTTTCTAACAGTTAGATAGTAATTTTTTCTTTAAAATAATTGACAAAATAATAAAAAACATACAAAAAAAAACTAATTTAACTATAGTACTTGCCTTTTTGTTATTAACTTTCATTTAGTGCTTGCCATTTTAATGTTGTAGGCAACATGCAGAAAATCGCATAACAAGACATTTTCTTAAAAAAGCTTTCCCTTAATTGGTTGATATCTCTTTGCTGTTGGAGAAAAAGAAAATAACCATGGAAATAATTATTTGTAAAAGTGTTTTGAATCGATAATGCTGATTTAACCCTTTTCACTCTTTGGGTTTGTAATTTTGTATTGTCTCCTCCAGCCCAACAACCTCGAGTTGCCACCGGATACTATGTACGGCGGACATAAATGGACAATGTCCGAACGTGTTAAGAGCGCCAGGTGGTTGCAACAACCCGTGCACCGTTTTTCAGACGAACCAGTACTGTTGTACGAATGGGCAAGGATCATGTAGCGATACAGAATATTCAAGGTTCTTCAAACAGAGGTGTCCCGATGCCTACAGTTATCCACAAGACGACCCGACCAGCACTTTCACTTGCACGAACACTAACTACAGGGTCGTGTTTTGTCCTAGGGCTAGACTCAGTACCCACCAGCTCCCGATCCAGATGGTCACAGAGGAGCATTAATTATCAGACTCTTCTCTATTGTATGTGTGTATGAGCGTGTACTAGTGTGTACGTAGATATACATGTGTACGTAGATATAGATATATGCGTAAGCGTGTGATAATGTTTACGTGAGTATCACACTTGATGGATAATAATGAATGCAAGAATAAGTTGGACTCACTTCTCTTTTTCCGGTCATGCTTTTATTAACGGGTAATAAGGAATAAAACTCTCAGTTTGATTATGATTTTGATTAGCCGTAGGTTTTTAGGTTTTGTTCTAGGATTTTAAATTCTAAAACGTAATAGAGTTTTTTTTTTTTTTGGGTAAAGAGATTCTAAAGATAAGATAGAACAAGCTAGCAAAATATTAGCAAAAATTGCTCCAAGGATAACACAAACTTCTTTTATAATGTTTCTATGATTCTCGAAATTAATATGAAGTAATGTTTTCCAATCCTTTTTCTCCAAAATAAAACATTTACAATATTATCTCTTTTAGGTAGATTGTTAAGTTATCAGCAAAATCAAGTTTTGAAAGTAGAATTTTCGGATTACTAATAAAAACTTTTGTTTGAGATTTAAAGAAAACATCTCAATTTTTGTTAGCAAAATTTTCATGACAGCCTAATGAGCTCATTGATAAGGTCTGCTCTCTTTCTCTTGTCGTGTTTGTGATTGCTGTCAGACTGCGAGTAGATTCAATTCGTGTGAAGGTATACGAAAATATACATAGTAAAAAGAAATCCTTACTTTAATAATGAAGTTGATTGACTAATAAGAGATCCTTAGTTCAATATTTTTTGTTGCGTGCGAAAAACCATGTCGCCGTGCAGCTTTGAGAAAAAAATCGTTTAGTAAAACTAATTATTTTGGCATCGTCATAGCAGTATATTTGTAGACTTTTAGACGTCGTTGATTTGAGTTTAACCTTTTTGATATAGGTCTCCAATTAATCAATCAAAAGCTAAGGCATATAAATATTAAATAAGCATAATCTGTTTGGACCATTAACAAACATGTTGTTTCTGTGATAAAGTATTCTAAAAGGATCTAGTGGGTTTTTCATTGAGTCATGCGCTTACACGAATTTCCCTACATTACGGGTTCTTTAATGGATATCAAGTGGGTTTAGGAATCGGTTTTTTAGGATATAAATACATGGCTTATCACTATAAGAAAACATTTGCTTTTAGACGACTATATCCGTTGGTAATCCGTCGGAAAACGCTTTTCCAAACGGAATTCTGACAAAAACAAGTCGTCGGGATCATCTCGTCGGGAAAAAATATCCGTCGGAAATTTATCGGGTATCCGACGGAATACCGAGGACTTCAATTACTCGACGAATTTCCGAGGACAAAAATTTTCCGACGGATTCCTGACGACGCAACTTTTCTGACGGATTCCCGAGGACGCATTTTTCCGACGGATTCCCGACGGTTTTATAAACCAAGGAGTTTCTGATGGTTTTGGTTTTGTCGGAGTTTAATTTCCGACGAAAAACCGACAAACTTGACGATTTTTGTTTCCTGACGGATTTCCGACGTACTCATTTCCCACGAATTTCCAACGGTCCTTTTTTTAGTGCCGACGATTTTCCGACGGTAAAAGAAAAATCAAAAAAAAAAAAATTTTAAAACATTAATTCAGAGAAATAAAATTGTAAATTAAATATAAATAAAACTGAAATTTATAAATATAATGAAAATATTTTAACAATTTTTAAAATTCAAATATTCAAATAACAAAAAAAAAACAATAATCTAGGTTTCTGGATTTTCCGTTCCCGAACTTCCGAATCCCGGGAAGTCAGGAAACCTCGCCTTCATCCAACTTGCCATGGTTGCGACTTCCGATCTGGTTGTAGTGAGCTCCGATTTGGTCGTAGTGAGCTCTTGTTGTGTTGCATCTAACTTGTGCTCCAAATCCGCTGCTTTTGCCTTGAGCTCTTCGTTTTGCTCGACGATATCTTCGGGATAAGAAGAAGAACCGAAAGATTCTTGACTTGAGACAACATTACCCAAACCACGTCGGCGTCCTTTCTTCAACGGAAGCTCCTGCACAATTAAAACAATAAGTTGTTAATACCAACAGCAAATGTAGACAAAAAGAAAATTAAAGGTACACAAACCAAGAAAACTTACTTCGCAAACCAAACGGTTGATTTCTTCGCGCGACAAAATGACGGGGGATGAGGAGTCACGTTGTGACTGTTGACTGCTCTCGATGGTCTGCGTCACCTTCTCATAAATTTCATTCATTAGAGGATCTTGAATCACATTGCTCCCCTTCTTTGTGTGCACCTTTTTCATCACCTGAAGATGATCTGGACGCACTCCTCCAGCCTCTCTAGTCTATTTAAAAAAACAAAAAACACTTAAATGTTATAATAAAAAGTGAACACGTATTGTAAAATCCCAAAAAAAATAAGATAATTTTACCATTTGGTCTTCTTGACTCAAAAAGCTCGTCAATCCGGAGTTGTGAACATATTGCCCTTTGCCTTTTCGGTCACTCCTTTTGTTTGTGGAATTAGTCTTCGATTTCTTCTCCGTCTCGGGGTTTTCCCAATATGGGATGTAGTGTTTCCAGAAAGTGGCATTCAACCCTTTCGGTTTGCCTTTCCCCTTCCTCCAATTCTGCTTCCACTCGTACATGTTTCTTGAGAATTGCCTAGCACACTCAGCAAGAAACAAGCCCTCCACATTCTTTGTGCGGTTTGGATGCCATGTAAACTCTTGCTGAAAAAAAAAATAAATTTCTGAAATAATACTAATTTAAGAAAAAATTTGAGTATTGAATAAATTGTTTGAAACTTACCGCAAACTGTTTGAACCATATGTTTTTCTTTTCGATAGGGATGTCAGAAAACGTCTTGTACGGTTTCTTAAGGAGTGAATGCAGCATTCTCAAAATGCACTTGCTAATCCCGTTGTTCGAATATCCAAACTTTTAAGAAAAAAATCTTGTTATTTTTATAAACATATTATCAAAAGAATAAAAAGATGAAAAAATAATTAATTACCAAGTCGCATTTCCACGCCGAAGTGGATCAAGCGGTGTGCATAACTCTCGTCCGGGCTCACCGAGTAAATTGTTAATACTCGTGTAGAATGCATCAGACGACGGAGGAGTATGAGAAGAATCTCCAGAACCGCGGAAATCTCTGGGATATCATCCAACTCCGGAAACTCCGGATTATCATTAGACTCCGGGATCCGTATCCAAATGAGTCCTTGACGAAAAGCTTTCATTGGTACGTCGTCGCCGGGATTGAGACGACGTACCAGATATATGACCTTGGTATTCTCCGTAATCCCTTTAAAAAATTTATCTAAAGTTAAAAACTTATAAATTGTAAAAAAAAGACATTAAAAACAATTTTTTTTAAGAGAACTTTAATGTTTTAACAAACATTTTTGAAAATTATACAAAATAAGTACAAAATAAAGTTATAATAAAAGTTGTTATAACAACAATAATTATGTTTTAAAAAAAAAACACATTATGTATCAAAAAAATCAATTTAAATAAAATTTATAACAAATTTATTTCTTATCTACAATTATAGGAGAACACATTTTTTTTTATTGATAAATTTTTTAAAAAATCTATTCTAAATTATAAATAATTTCTTGTGAATATATTTGTTAGAATTAGTTGCTTATATATATAGGAAATTTCAAAAATTAACAAATCTATTTTTTGCCAAAACTAATAATTTTAGAAATCAAATAATTTTACATATCTAACAAATCTTATAATTTTTCCAAACTAAAAATTTTACAAACATATAAACCACAATTATAATCTAACAATTCTAATTTTTTCTTACAAATCTACACCTATCAAATCTAACTTTTCAAATCATGACTTTTCATCCCACACAACTTACCTTCTCCAGTATCAACGCAATTACGCAAGTTAGATGCATATCCATCAGAAAATTTAACACTTTCCTTAATCCAGTCGAAGAATTCTTCTTTTGAAAGCGCATTTAATCGAAAAGCTGGGGGCAATGATTTCCCATTTTCCATAACATGCAGTTCTTTACGGGAACAAATATATCAGGTAAGTCTAATCTTGCCTTCAGATTATCTTTAGTCTTCCCTTGCACATTAAGTACAGTATTCATGATGCTGTCGAAAAAGTATTTCTCAATGTGCATCACATCTAAATTATGCCGAAGTAGATGGTCTTTCCAATATGGAAAATCAAAGAAAATACTCTTCTTGTTCCAATTGTGGTACTCTCCACATCCTTGAATAGGAACATGACCATTCCCACCACATGAAACCGTCTTCTCAGCATCAAAATCTCTTAATTGTCGGATTATATCTAAACCTGTAGGCTCTGGAGGTAGAGCATCATAATTTTTTTTATTCTTCCTAAACAGTGTCGTGCTCCTTCGATATGGATGATCAGGGGGTAGAAACCGTCGATGGCAATCAAACCAAGAAGTTTTTCATCCGTGTCGTAATTGGAATGCATCAGTGTTATCTTGACAGTACGGACATGCTAATCTTCCGTGAGTAGACCATCCAGAAAGCATACCATATGCTGGAAAATCACTTATCGTCCACATAAGAACCGCTCGCATTACAAAATTTTGTTTTAGAGAAACATCATACGCTTCAATGCCATATTTCCATAGCAGCTTCAACTCATAAATTAATGGCTATAAGAAAATATCAAGAGATCTCTTGGGGTGCTCTGGTCCAGGAACGAGTATTGTAAGGAACAAAAACTCTCGTTTCATGCACAAACTTGGTGGCAAATTATAAGGTGTGACAATTACTGGCCATAAAGAATATTGCCGCCCATGCTTGCCAAAAAGGTTGAATCCATCCGTAGATAACCCAAGGTAGACATTCCTTGGCTCAGACGCAAAACTAGGATAGAGCTCTTGAAAACGTTTCCACGCTTCTGCATCTGAAGGATGTGCAATCTCTCCATCTGAGTTGTGTTGTGCATGCCATCTCATTGGAGCTGCTGTTCGCTCTGATTGATATAACCTTTTCAGCCTCTCTTTTATTGGCAAATACCAGATCCTTTTATGTGGAACAGGTACTCTGCTACTTGTTTCCTGATATCGCGGTTTATGACAAAATTTGTACTTTAAGCGATGCTCGTTATTCCTCCAGAATATCATACAATTGTCGATGCAGACATCTATCATTTCATATGGTAATCCAAGACCACTTACAAGTTTCTGAATCTCGTAATATGAAACCGGTGAGATATTATCTTCAGGTAAAATATCTTTAACAAAATCAGCTATTGCATCCACACAATCTTCTGCCAGATTAAAATCCATCTTGATAGTCATCAACCTGCTTGCAGAGTATAAAGGCGATATGCCCTCTCTACATCCTCCATATAAAGGTTGTTTAGCTGCATCTAGCATATCAAAAAACCTCTGGGCTTCTAAATTAGGTTCTTCTGTTCTATTACCATCCTGAATATACGATGCTACGTTTTCTTGAAATGCGTCATTCACCATCTGAACAATACTACCTACGTTTACATCATTCACCATCTCAACATCTGGAGTTGGTTCTTCTATCACACCAGAAGCACTGCTATAATAATTTACCATTGATTCAGTTTCTCCGTGCATATACCAAATCTTGTATCCTGGCATAAATCCATTCCTATACAAGTGATTCCATAGTCCTCTAACAGAGTATACTCTGTTATTGCGACATGTAAGACAAAGACAATAGAATTTAGTATTTCCAGAGCTCTCACTATTCTTTGTCGTAAGGGTTATAAATTCTTCAATACCACTCGCATACTCATCGGTTAGTTTTCCCGATGTTGGATCAAGATGGGGTTTATCCATCCATGATCGAAAATAATTATATGGGTTTGGGTTTGAAGAAGACATGTTCTTTCACCCTTGATTTGTATGTTGGGAATGAGAAAGAAGAGGTATTTATAGCAAAACCTGACTTCATTTCCGAGCGTATTCCGACCGATTTCTGACGAAACTTTAAAACGGCTAGAAACGGCTAGTTCAACGGATACAACAACGGCTAGATCTAATAATTCCGTCGGAAATCCGTCGGGAAAGTTGAAAATTTAAAAAGAATCAAATTCCGTCGGAAATCCGTCGGAAATCCGTCGGAAATTTCCGACAGATTTCCGACGAAATTGTATATTTTTTTGGTTGAATTTTCAACTTTTTTGAAATCCGTCGGAAATCCGTCGGGAATTTACCGACGGATTTCTGACAAAACCTTAAAAAACAACCATTTCAATAATCTGTCGGAAATCGGTCGGGATTTGCGACCGATTTCCGTCTAACTTTTTCTCGTCGGTATTTTTTAGTTTTTCGTCGGGATTCCGTCGGTATTTTCCGACGAAATATATTCCGTCAGAAATTTCGTCAGGAATCGTAATGTTTTCTTGTAGTGTATATATGGATTATATTTGATTACTTCACACAATTAATAAGAAAACCCTAAACGGGTGTCTGTCTCGATTTGTGATTTTTTTATCTTTGATTATTACTTTCTTTAGTTTGATTCACAACAAATGGTATCAGAGCTCAAGATTTTCCGCGAAACTATGCCATGACGAAGGGAAGTTCTCTAAGTTCGATGTTCCTAGGTTCGATGGGAAGGGGAATTTTTCGGTTTGTGACAAAGTCGAGTTAGGGATCTGCTGACGCAGCAGGGGATGAAAAGGCGCTGTTAGAGAAAAAGCCAGACAAGATTGAAAAAGATGATTGAGACAATATGCAGGATCAAGCTGTTTCGACGATTCGACTTTGTCTCTCTGATGATATTACCAATCAAGTGATGAACATCACGACTTGCAAGAAGATGTGGGATAAATTAGAGAATGTACATGTCGAAGTCGTTGTCCAGCTTGCTGTATCTGAAGCAGAAGTCTTCTTCTAGTTTCAAATTCATAAACTAGAAGACCATTGTTTGATATTCCAGTCAAGAATTTGCAGCTGCAGAGATAAGGTCCTTCAATCGTTTCAATGTTTCAGGATGAACATCAAGATTAACATTGCAATGTTTCAAGATAGGGGTGACGATTCTGCCAATGCGTATAACTAGATTTTCCCTACTCTTGTTTGTGGACACCCAGAAGTTACAAACCAAATTCTTATACGCTACTAAGTTCTAACATATTTTATATGAGATTTTATAAATAGAATTACATGAATTAAAGTAAAATACAGAAATTATGCAGCAAAAAAATTAAAATGTTAGTATCAACATTTTAAGAAAAAGATAACTAATTGCACAAAAATTGACCACTAAAGGAAAAAAAATAGGTAAAAATATGTATTGAACACTATCCAAACAATGACCACAAATAATTCAGCTAACCACAGACACTTGAAAATTAAAATACAGAGCTGTTTTCTCTTGTTACTATTACGTTTGCTCTATTTAAGCCAAATTGTTTCTGTTTTAGTTTTACATCATTTAGTATAAATTCTCTTTTATAATTTCGAATATGTTTTTAAGAAAATATCCATAATTTTTGTTTGATATTGCATAATTTTTTTTATTGGGATGTAAGAAATAGAAAAAGATATAGAAAAATGTTAAACAGAGACGCAATGTTTTCAAAAAATTTTAAAAAAGCTTGAGCTAATTCCTGAGCTCTTGCTTTGATCTCACCGATATGACTTGTATTCGGAGAGTTTGAGTTATCTGACAAATCAGAACCTGTGTGGAAAAGATTGGTACTCATCTCCCTTATTCTAAGTAACATATGGAAGTAGAAGCGATGAAAGGATTTTCTTCTAAGTAAAGGGATAGGAAATTTTTTGTGATCCCACTATTTTACTACGAAAGAAATGATCTCACACAGGTTGGAAACGAGGGGTAGAAAAAATTTCACGTGACGCCATTATTAATTCCCCTACATCTTTGATAAAACAAAAAAAGGAAGAAAAAAAAGAGATGACAAATGAATAAGTCTGGGGAGTAAAAAGTACCAATGGTTATATGGTTGGTTTGTCATGGTATTGTATGAGAATGAGTCTAGAAGGTTCTTGACATTAAGATCGTCGATGAGACCCAACGGTGATGGCTTTTGGATTATTATGTGAAACTATGGGTTGAATCTGGGAGGCTGTGATGCTTGCGGAAAACTTCATGGTGGTGATCTGGGATTGATTTTTGTAGCATGTTAATCACTAAGTTGAAGGGTCTTTGCAGTGTTCTAGAGAGAAGGTGAGTCTTCGTGTTTTCAAATTTCTTTTTTGTGCTTGGTTTTCTGTTTGTTTGAAAGGCAAGCAAAACCTTTAAGTCCAAGATAGTTGATGTGTTGCATTCTATCCCAAGTTTTCAAGTTTTTTCGAGTCTTTTAGGTTTGTTAGAGTCAATTCAGGTCAAACAGCATTATAAGACAGAGTTTGAAGACTTAGGAGCGGAATACGGCGAAAAAGCAGGAAAAAGAAAAAAAAGCGACCGATGTCAATCATACAAACAAAAAGAAAAACTAATTTAACTAGTACTTGCCTTTTCTGTTTTTGTTTTTGATGCAAGGCTTGCCATCTTAAAAATCGCATAACAAGACATTCTTCTTAAACCCTTTTTTCCTTAATCGGTTAATATCTCTTTGCTGTTGGAGAAAAAGAGAATATAACCATCGAAATATTATATTTGTAAACGCTTTGAATCGATAATGCTTATTTAACCTTTTTCTCTTTTTGGGTTTGTATTGTCTCCTCCAGCCCAACAACCTCGAGTTGCCACCGGATACTATGTACGGCGGACATAATTGGACAGTGTCCGAACGTGTTAAGAGCACCAGGTGGTTGCAACAACCCGTGCACCGTTTTTCAGACGAACCAGTACTGTTGTACGAATGGGCAAGGATCATGTAGCGACACAGAATATTCAAGGTTCTTCAAACAGAGGTGTCCGGATGCCTACAGTTATCCACAAGACGACCCGCCCAGCACTTTCACTTGCACTAACACTAACTACAGGGTCGTGTTTTGTCCTAGGATTAGACTCGATACTACTGGGAGCATATATATATTAAGAGACTCGTCTCTATTGTATGTGATGTGTGTATGAGCGTGTACTAGTGTGTACGTAGTAACGTAGATATATATGCGTACGCGTGTGATAATGTTTACGTGACTATCAAACTTGATGGATAATAATGAATGCAAGAATAAGTTGGACTTTTGCTAACGGTTAATTAGGGATAAAACTCTCAGTTTGATTAGGATTTTAAATGGCAGTAGCTTTTAGTTTTTGTTGTAGGATTTTAAATATTAAAACTCGAGTAATAGAGATGTTTTTTGGTGTAGAGAGTAAAAATTTGATTGATCAAACTAGCATAACATTAGCAAAAAACGTTAAATCAATAAGAAATTATTTTTTTTTCCAGATTTTTTTGTTTGGTGTAGAGATAGTAAAGAATAGATAGAACAAGCTAGCAAAATATTAGCGAAAAATGCTCTAAAGATAAGACAAACTTCTTTTTAATTTCTTACTATGTTTCTCGAAGTTAATATGAAGTTGTTTTTCCAATCCTCTTTTTCCGAAATGAAATCTTTACAATTTTTGTCTTTTTGGGTAGAGATTGTTAAGATATCAGCAAAATGAAGTTAAAAAGAAGAATTTTCGGATTACCAATAATAGCTTTTGTTTGAGATTTAAAGATAACATCTCAATTTTTGTTAGGTAGAATTTGCATGGAAGCCTAATGAGCTCATTAATTAGGTGTGCTCTCTCCCTTGTCGTGAATGTGAATATGTGATTGGTGTCAGATTGCGAGTAGATTCAATTCGTGCGAAGGTATACGAAAATATACATAGATAAAAAAATCCCTACTTTAATAATGGAGTTGATTGACTAAGGTATACGAAAATATACATAGTAAAAAAAATCCCTACTTTAATAATGGAGTTGATTGACTAATAATAGATTCTTACTCGGTTCAATTTTTTATTGCGTGCGAAAAACTATGTAGACCGATTCGTGCAGCTAGGAGAAAAACCCGTTGAGTAAAACTAATTATTTTGGCGTCGTTATCGCTGTAGATTTGTAGAACCTTAGACGTCTTTGACTTGAGTTTAACTTTTTTGATATGCATGATTGCATGGGTCTCCAAATAATCAATCAAAAACTAGGCATATAAGCATAATTCCATTATATAACAAACACATTTTTAAAAATCACAGAAGTACAGTTGTATGGTATAAACTTGAATTTTTGAAAGCATTTATGAAAAAAAAAGAGAGATATAAAGCTGGAAAGTAGAAGAGCGTTTTCTCATTCTTCAAAAACGTTAATACATTTCCATATATACATGTGCTAAACTGTTAAACCTAGTTATACAAGATAACTAAATTTATGCATAATTAATAGCCCAATAAAATATTGTATGGCCCAATATTATGATACTCTACCCCTTTACAAGTTGGAGCATGCATGTAGATTAAATATGTCCAACTTGCATAGAAACCAATCAAATTCCTAGCCCAATTAATGTTTTGAGAATATATCAGCTAAATGAAGAAGAGAGGGAACAATAATTACCTAATACACTTTTACTATATAAGATCATATCACTGAAAGCTATCAAGGAGACAATACCACCAATTTCCAAGTAAACAAACTGACAAGAACTGTAGTATAGTTGAAGTAAGCGAGAAGTTCATATACCCGCTTCCAACCTGAATGGATAATATGTGATTATATCACATTTCAATAATCTAGATTTAAATTATCTATAAGATTTTAAAATGTAAAATTGATTTTTGGTCCAATTTTATTATTCATTGTTATACTAAATCTAAAACTTGATCCAAGTCTAGAGTCTCTGTAAAAGCATCCTATAATCTCATCATCCTTTTAGTTAATGTGTTATTCATATATAGTTTTTCATAGTTTGAAGGTGAATTTTACTTTCTTTAGTTTCTTTTTTCTTATAGATATTATAGTATTGGAATAGTCCTAAGCATATTTTCATTCTTTACGACAACAAAATCAGGTATTTCCATGATTAAACAATTTCTGAAAATATGACTGATTGAAAAAGACATGCGCCAAAATTTAGTTTATGATTATTTGTATTGAAAATCAAAATGAAAACAAATTTTAAAAAACCAAATTTGGATCTATGAAATTATTTGAAAATACCATGAAATTTGTTTAAGGGATAAATTCCAAATATTCATTCATCCAACTTGTTATTAATGAACTCGGTTACCCAAAAATTCCGATGCACATATAAGATGAATCATAGATCGGATACTTCGAATAATTAAGTAAGCATATCCCTAAAATGTTAAGTAAGACAAATTAACTATATCCTACTCTCAAATATTGGAAAATTGGTACTCCTGGTCTCCGTAGCGAATGCGAATGATGCTCAATTGCTCATCCAAATTGATAAATTAAAAAAATTGAAATGCAACAAACGGTTGATCGCAGTGCTATTGTAATTGGAGATGGTCTTCATTAGGTGCATGATGTGCCTTTGCTACACTAATTCGATTATGGTCCATGGCGAGATATTTTTGGATGCTTTGACAACTTTGTGAAAATTTGTCGTCTATCATTGTTTTGCTATTTATTTAAGTCATTGCCTTTGTGAAGTCAAGTCTTCGTTTCTCATTAATCATCATGAGATCCATGAACCTAGCTTTTCCACTTGTTTGAATCAGACAAAAGCTAAGCAAAAACAAGTTGGGTTAGGATAAAATAAGGGTTTTGTCTGGGAGACTTGTAAAGGGGAAGCAGTCCGACGTAGGAAGAAATCCTCTGTCATTTTAGGGTTTAGTCGAAGAAAAATAACTAAATATATAGTTTCCAATGATTGAATTATGTTTTTAATGGCATTTTTGTAGTTTAAAAAAGACTAGGCTTTGTTCAGAGTTTTTCTACTGGGGTTTTAAATAAGATTGTTTCAAATTCTATGTGAATACCCTCAGATGCAATAGATTATAAACCTATTAACAATTTTAGCAATAGATTTTCTTTTTTCTTAAGGTCAACTTGGTAAGTCAATACAGAGAAAAAAGAAAAGAAATGAGACAAATATGGAAATGAGGAGTAAGGAAAATAGAAAAATTCATTAAAAAAAAATTAGAAGTCTAAAACATGAAAAAGTACCATCGAGTCTAATTATATGGGATATTTGATCAAGTCTAAACCACTAGATTACACTAATTTGAAAAATCTTAGGTAAACCATTTATTAACTCCAATTTTATTTTTCTGGTACCACAAACAATTACATCCTCAAAACTGTATGAAATTCGATTACTTGTTTGCCAAGAATATATATTAAAAAGTAGACATGTAATAAAGATTTTGGTCACCCAACTTGGAGGCAAAAGCCTACCAGTAAGTTGTAACAGTTAAGGAGTTATGTATTGGTTAATTTGTTACTTTTTAATTAATATTTTGCATTTTTGAAGTTACGTAATAATAAATGCTATTTCGCTTTTTTCATTAAAAAAAACAATGGATGGGACGACAGGCGACTTGACTATGTTACTAACGGAAAGTCTTGTTTCTAGATATGTACTATGTAGACATTATAATGTTAACGTAAGAAAAAATTAAGTACGTATAGGGGGACTTAAGAAGAATATAGAAATGTGTGTACATTTTTTCCTTTTCTGCTAACAAAGAAGTTACATATCTATACATAAGCTTCATTATTGTGAAAGCTTTTTTGGCCTAATGGAGTTTATTAATGTTTTTAAGTTTCCAAACTAAATAAATATGATTTATTATCAGTTCTGCAGATTAATGGAGAAAAACGTATGAAAAAACTTCAATATGGTGTAAGTGGAACTATTTAGCGTAGAGGTTCATAATCATCAGTATAGCAATTCTCGTTATAATAATAAGATAATAATTTAATGATAAAAAAGCTCTTATTATTTTATTTTATTTTTATTTTTAGTACAACTCCTATTATTTTTTGTTTGGGATCAGCCTCTAATAGTACTCTTTGGAGGTAAATCATCATTTACAAAACAGATCGAACTTAATAGGGAAACAAAGTTGAAATTTCTTTGGAAGGACGAATTTACTGCCACTAGCCGACTTCCTAGTTGGTGAAGACTAAAGACTAGGTGTGAACATTTAAAGGCCCACATTTAAATGAATTATGTGATATAATTTCAAAGACGACCCAAAGAATTATGCCTTTCAAGTTTCAACTATTACTTAGCAAATATACAAATGATGTACAACTTGAATGTCCACATCCATTTAGGCAGACGTCAGTACGAACAGATTTTGTGGCAATCCAGATTTACCAATAAAAATATCTCCAGTTCTTCATAGTACATATCTAGAAACAAGACTTTTCGTTAGTAACATAGTCAAGTCGCCCCATCCATTCTTTAACCAAAAAAAGTCGCCCCATCTATCATTTTATATTTATAAAAATGATTAAAGCAAAATAACATTTATTATCATATAACTTCAATCATTCAAACTACTAATAAAAAAATAAAACAAACTTACCAATACATAACTCATAAAAAGGAACCGTTTTTTTCTCCTAACAAACATATTGTTTTTTTTACAAAAAAACCTTTTTTAAAAAAGATTTAGAACTGTCTCTTTTTCGGTTGATTAAATCATCTGAAAATTTACTATTTGCAATAAAAGTGAGGGAAAAAGAATTCTATTCACTTTGTTGAAGGAAAATAATCCTCTACTAGATCATATTCTTGTAATTAATTGTAGAGGAACATGTGGAGTAAAGAAAATCGTCTCGTAGAAGTACTAGAACTATCATAAACATTTAAAAATATAATGGACTCTGACATTCGTTTACAGAATGGAAAACTTTGGTCATAAAATAGCCTTTAATTATTAAACACTGATTACGTGGATTAAATAACGGTAAATAACTAAAAAAAGAAAGAAAAAAAGAGGAGGGACTTAAAGAAAAATGAGTGTAGTCACTAGTCAGAAAGAAATTATACTTCAGTCATTTGATGATATATCTAGTAAATATAATCAAATTATGTAAATTTTAATAGGGTGGTACGCCAGGACCGCCATTGGCTACCTCTATATAAAGCTATAGTGTATGTTTACAAAAGATCACACACACAAGTAGTAAAACAAAACAAAAAATGGCAAACATTATCTCACTCTCGGCGTTCATCATCTCCATCTTTTTCCTCATCTCCACCGCTAAAGCCGTCAGATTCGACATCCTGAACCAATGTGGTTACACCGTTTGGGCCGCCGCCAGCCCTGGAGGTGGCCGGCGTCTAGATCCTGGCCAGTCATGGCCACTAGATGTTGCGGCTGGCACACGTATGGCACGTATTTGGGGTCGGACAAAATGTAATTTTGACTCTTCGGGACGTGGCCGATGCGAAACCGGTGATTGCACTGGTGGACTTCAATGCACCGGTTGGGGCCAGCCACCAAACACGTTGGCTGAGTACGCTTTGAACCAATTTAACAACATGGACTTCTACGACATCTCACTTGTTGATGGATTTAACATCCCTATGGAATTTAGGTAAGAATATTATCATAAATTTTTCATAATTTGTTTTACAATTTTTTCTTTTAAGTTAAGCTGTTATAAATTCGAATTTTACCTGACGAACATTCTTTAAACGTAAACGTAAAAATCTGAATACCGAGACTTTAGCCTAAATATCCCCATGGAAGTTTAAGTCGCAAGATCTCAAAATTTTAAAAAATCGACGCGGCCAAGGGGAAAAGTCAGGACGCTTAGAAGTAACAAGATTTTTTTTTTTTCCTTGTTTAAGTTTGAAGTGAAGTTCAATTATAATTTTCACTGTTTCTAATTTAACGATTAAACAGTAAATGTGTACGAGAAGATAAAAAGATCTTCAAAATAACTAAAAATGTAAAAAAAAACTATAAAGAAATTTGGTAAATAGAAAAAAAAATAGTAAAAAAACTTAAAGAAAATATTACATAGTCATTTTTATTTCTTTATTTTTGAATTTAGTTCTTGCGATAATAATTTGCCTTTCTTTTTATCAATCTTCGCTCAACCAGCTCGAATTGCAAGCGGATACTATGTAACGCGGACATAAACGGACAGTGTCCAAACGAGTTGAGAGCCACAGGAGGTTGCAACAACCCCTGCACAGTGTTCAAGACGAACCAATACTGTTGTACGAACGGGCAGGGATCATGTGGCGCCACTGAGTTCTCAAGGTTCTTCAAACAGAGGTGTCCAGACGCCTACAGCTATCCACAAGACGACCCGTCCAGCACTTTCACTTGCACTAACACTAACTACCGGGTCGTGTTTTGTCCTAGATAGGTGCTAGGGCCTAGACTATCTCAACACCAGTGTGTACGTAGGTATGCACGTACGTGTAACGTGTGTATTAAATAATTGAGAGACTATCAACGCGTAATGGATAATAATGAAGGCAATAATAATTACGTATGTATCCTTTATACAGAAAAAAGAAGAAAGAATAATAACAATTACGTATAAGTTGAATTCGTTTCTGTATTTCCATTTCTTCCGGTACACATGTTAAAATATCTCTTCATCTCTATTGTCTGTTTGTGTGTATGTGTGTCTACGTGTGTGATCATATTTACGTGACTATTAAGTTTCAACGCGTATAATAACGAACGCTATATTTGTTTTCTTTTCTTTTTTTCAGAAAGGGTTTAAAGGCAATAATGTTTACGTATAAGTTGAACTCGTTTCTCTTCTTTCCGGTCAAAAAAATTATAAAGAAGAAAAATCTCGGTATAACTAGAATTTGAATATATAGCTGTATTTTTTTTTTTTTTGTTGTAGAATTTGAAATTTGTAACCGATAACACAGAATTAAAATCCTATTCAAACTATTGTAATTGCACAGCAAATAAAATAATATAGAAGGGATCGAATCTACCAAAATCAAATAAAATATTACAAAGATGTAAGAGTGAAATAAAACAAATTAAGATGAATGAGAGTGTTTGTTAGTTTATGAATGAGCTAAAAACTAAGACAAGAACGATGTGAGTTCGATGGAGGGCAACACTAGATCTTGGGTTAATTTGCAGGAAAACAAATCAGAAAATCGAACATATACACTAGATTTTGGAGGCCTGTGATTAGCAATAAAACTCCTTTATTGCTGACTAAAGAGCATCGCAAATAGGCCTGGACAAAAAATCTGGACCCTAATATTCGAACCGGAACTAAAATGAAATAGAGATACCAAATTCGAACTGAAATTTATAAAAATATCCGATGGATTCTAAACTTTTATATCTGAAGAACCGGAACTAAACCAGAACCAAACCGAGAACTGATCGAATCTCCGAATTATTCAAAGTATAATTATATACCCTTAAATATTAGTTATTTTTTATATTTAAAATATTTTGTGTATATTTTTGGTTTTATGAATATTTTTTTTTTACTTTTTAAAAGGTTTTTGGGTATATTTTTGGATTTTGAGGTATATTTTTGAGTTTTTGAATATAATTTGTGTTCAAAAAAACTCGAATCAAACTAAATTAATTTTTTTTGGTATTTATAGGTTCTCAAAATTCAGAAATTTGGATACTAAAACTTACATGATGGCTCTATGTCTAGGCAAAAAATTCGGACCCAAATATCCGAACCAGAACCAAACCGGTCCTAATCCTCTGAAATATCCGAAACCAATTGGTTTCAAACCGAAACCGGAGCGAATACCTGAATGCCAAGGCGTATCGCAAACTCAACTTCTTGAGATTCTGGAGGTAACGTACGATTTGCGTAGCATTTATTTTTTCAAAGAACCCAAGTATTATATTTCAGGTTGGTGAGGTTACTACAGTTCTCTCCCACAGCCTGAAACTCAATATATTTCCGGTGAGATAGTCAAGAACAATAATAATTGTTTTAAGATTCTTCCATTGACTGAACACACACTGGAATGAATTCTTGGTTTGAAAGCACCAGCGCGATAAAAAAAGTTTCTCAATGGTGGCATTCTAAGAAACAAAAGTAAGTATGAGAAACATATCGCGCACAAAAATCTATTTCTATGATTTAGTTGTAAAGATGAGATTGACTTCTCAGCAGCAAACATGAGATTCTCCTCTTGTATATAGAAATCTAAATTAGAGAACAGCGACAAAACTTGGTGATTATCTTGAGACTTCTGCGTGCCTCATAAATGCCAAAAAACTTGTTGATCTTAATCAAAATACTCATAAGGCTTAAGCCTTCATCTACTTGTTGGAGCTTGGCTAGGTCGTCGGTGTTCCACAGAGTTTTTCTGTGAGAAGCAAGAAACCAAGAGATGCAGACGCGTGACGCTCCCATGGTAAGGTTCCTTACGTGGAGCTTACCGAAGATCATGACAAGTATGTCTCTGGCCAGATTTGCCCATTTTGAAACTTGTCTTGACCTGTTTGCCTTATCCATCACGTTTCGACTACATTCAGACAAATAGAGAAAAAAAAAGGTTGAAAAAATTTTAGATAGATAGATTCTTGAATCCACATAAGAGCTTAAACAAGAGAACATGAGGAAGAAAAACATTGAAAAAAAATGAATGATTTCATAGAAAGTGTCCATCGGATAACACAGTAAGCATGCAAGCTCCATAACTATACACACCAATTCCTTTTTTTCTGACACTTCAAATTTTTTTATCCAAGCAGACAAATGATACACAAATTGTAGTTTTTTTCACGATAAATCTCTTACAGTTGCAGATTCTCTCGAAAGCAAGTTCCTTCTCTGTTATATGTGTTATGGATTCTTAGGGAATAAGTTATTTTTTGGTCAAGAAGCCATATGATAAGGCTCGAGTTTCTTCAACGGCAAGTTTACAAGATTTTGTCTTTGGTTCCGAGGCATCGGTTCCGAACTGTTTTATCTTCGTTATTGTCATGGGACATTGTCGTGGGAGATGGTCCCTTTTGTTGCTTGCAAGTACTTGGGATAGATGCTTGTTAAGCATGGGAGCAATGGTCAGAGCCGACAATCTCACTGTCCCTTGGTTGTTCATTGGTTCTCCCTGTGTCGCCGGCATGTTCTTTAAATCGAATTTGGTATTCGATTCTGATTCTTTGTTACATGTTTTGTTAGTGTTTGTATTTGGAGAAGTTGTAGGTGCTGATGGGTAAGAGGGTTTGAGGATGGGCCTCGCTATCGGTTGCTCGTGGCAACAAAGATGAGGACTCGAGCTCCAGAGAGCTATGGCAATAACACTTTGATCTGCTCAAAGTTTAATCCCTAAGCTACTCTGCAAGAGCACAGATGTGCAGTTGTAATATCTAGGGGTCGAACCACAGAGACTAGAATTCACTCAATACACCTTGTGTAGATGGAGTTACGCTAAGTAGAAGTATGCGAAACAATTAGTAATGCGACAGAAGTAAGTAGAACAGCAATGAAAACAGTTGTAAATTCGATGTGATGAAGGATAGGTCTAGGGTGATTTTCAGGAGATCAATGAATGCGGATCAACTTAACAAGTCAGGGTTCAGATATTAAGCACGGTTCTTGAACTCGAAACACAGAACTATAATTAACCAACTTTCGTTGTGAGAATAATCTAAGTTCCTAGAATTCCCAATTCCTTTGCAAATCCTACAGATTTAAACCAGCCTTAATTGCACAAGTTCGATATGTTCACAAAGCTCCTAAACCAAATTCCTTTGCGAATAGTTACTTTGCTCAACTCAGGTTCTTTCCAGTTATTCAATTACATTTCCGTGTCAATTAAACAACCTAAGGTCTAAGTTCTAGGTGATCAATCCAGAATTAGCTTTAAGAACAACCTAAGATGAAGAACTAACAGATATGAACCCTAGCTAGCAAGTTAATCAAACATTCAGAGAAAACCCTAATTAAACCCTAAACCTAACAGGTGATCTACTCAGACATGATTATTGAAACAACAAACATGATGAATAGAAAGCAATATATTAAATGCAGATACTCACTCCCCCTTTGCATAAACACCACAACGAACAGAGTACAGACTTGTCTCCCCAAGCTCAGAAATCGCAAAAGCCGAAAAACTCAGAGTATCTCTCTCTCCAAAATCAAAGGTTATCGTAAAAAGGGAATAAAAATCCTAAATATATCTCTAAGACACGTCTTGGCTTCCTTGAAAACGTTTGGGCCCAACTCCTTTTTCAAATAGGAAACAAAATCGCCTTTTCCTTATTTATCTGACAAGTGTCGAGCGTCACTCTCCATGGTGTCGAGCGACACTAAGGCACAAAATCCATTCTTGACGAATTTGATCCTGATTAAGCTCCAAAGTGCTCCAAAGTCTCCAGTTAAGCTCCAAACGTACCTATGACCTGAAAAGACTCCAAAAGACTCGAAAGACACTAAAAAGACTCTATAAATAAGACCTATACCATGGTTAAAAACCATAAAAACCATGATATATCAACTCCCCCAGACTTAGCATTTGCTTGCCCTCAAGCAAACAGAACACCAAATAAGAGAAAGAGGTTTGAAAACACAGAGATTCAACCTTTCATTGGAACATCGCTTTTGACCGATTACCCTGCAACTCAACTACTGCTTCATCACTCCAAATCGAACCACCATGTACTTCTCCGCAGACATTCACAACTTCCGAGATTAAGTCCAAAATTCCACAACATTATCCATAAACCCTCATCGCTGGATCTCACTGATGATTCCAATGCCCAGAACCTTCTAGATTCTTTCCCATTCTGTACTCAAACAAATCGGCCTTACACACTTTGGTACTTTTTCTCTCCCCCAGACTTATTCTTTTCGCACATTCATCATCTTTTTCTTTTCTCCTTTTTATGGCATATACTCGATAAAGGTAAAGCTGCGAGTACTGATGGTGTTTGCCATCGAGTCCCCGAGTTGTCCCCTTACTTTGTATCAAAGGTTTTCAGCGAATAATGGGGTCATGGGAAACATTCCTACCCCTCACTTCCTTCCTTTGTGTGATCATTCCAACTTAGAAGTGAAATAATGGGATCATTGGAAACATTCCTAGCCTTTCACTCCCAAGCGAAAATCATCTCAATCTTTTTGCCCTTTTCTTTTCTTTCTTTCTCTTCTTCTTAGCTCGTCACAGGGAGAGAAACACCAACATGAAATTTCACACAGGCTTTCATTGATCAAGTACGAACGAGGAATCAAGCTCTAAGGCTTTAGTCACATCAACGAGTTAAAAGTGAAGTTCAGAACTTAGCTCAGGTTTGTGTGGATTCTGTTGGAAATATGGACGCCTCTAGTCAGCTGGTCAGCCTTTGGATTTTTCATTAGTCGGATCTAGACTGAATCTGCAGCAGTGGTCAGCACAATAAATCCGAGAAAAGCATCATAATCTCCAACAGGTTTTGACTCAAAAACGTTTTGACACAACTGACTCTAAGAAAAACAAAACACAATGTCAGCAACGACCTCCCCCAGACTTGAATAACACTGTCCCCAGTGTAATCAAATCCAAAGTTGGTGACAAAAGAGAGAGTCAGAAGAATGAATGCAATGGGTTAGAATATCTTACTACTCAGTTAGGGCGACCAACACACAGCTCAGATTCAGATGAAAATAAGCTTAGGTCGAAAGTGCAAGGATGGTGAC